AAAAGGGGCACCACTGTGTTCAGACATTAGAGGGCCCCATAACACAACAAATAGAGACTCAGAGGGGAAGAGACGTGACATCTCCTCTGGCTCTAAGGAGCATGCAGTGGAAGATGCTCACATCATCTGCTTGGGTTTTCAAGACAGTAACACGGGGCTACAGACTCCAATTCGCTGTCACCCCCCCCTCGCTTCTCGGGCATTCTGCATTCGCAGGCCCGATGAGAGTCAGCCCATATTCTGGAGAGAGAGATTCTCTCACTCCAAGCCGAGCAGAGTCAGAGCGGCTTCTATTCCAAGTACTTCCTCGTTCCCAAACGGGGAGGTAACGGAATTCGGCCAATACTTGATTTGAGGGCTCTGAACAAATATCTAAAAAGATATAAGTTCAGAATGCTCACTCACACATCTCTGCTGCGGCTCGTGCGACAAGACGACTGGTTTACATCAGTCGACCTGAAAGATGCGTATTTTCACATCCCAGTATATTACCCACACAGGAAATATCTGAAATTCGAATTTCAGGGGATCTGTTATGAATACAGAGTACTCCCCTTCGGTCTGTCTCTCAGTCCAAGGGTGTTTGTACGATGTACGGAAGCCGCGATAGCCCCGTTAAGACAACAGGGTATTCGCCTGGCGACCTACCTGGACGACTGGCTGCTTCTCGCACAGTCGGAGCAGGAGGCTGTTACGCAGACAAATGTCCTCGTAAAGCACCTGCTCAACCTGGGTTTCATAATAAACACAGAGAAGAGCATGTTGTGCCCCGCGCAGACTATACTCTTCCTGGGTTTACACCTGAACTCGGTGCCCTTTTCAGCCCGCCTGTCAGCGGAAAGAGTGAAAGCTTTCAGAGCTTGTCTCGCTCTTTTCCAGCTGCGCAAACATGTTCTCTTCAGATCATGCCTGCGATTGCTGGGGCTCATGGCGTCAGCCATCCTGGTCGTACGACTGGGACGCTTACACATGAGGGGGTTTCAGCGCTGGGTGGCCGCCCTAAAACTAAAGCCATGGCGCGCGGAGAGTGATGGTTACTGTGAAATGCGTAATGGCACTGCGCCACTGGCTGCACCCGACTTTTCTAGTACGAGGTGTGCCTATGGGTGCTGTCCTTTCACGGAAAGTGGTCACCACGGACGCATGTCTGACAGGTTGGGGAGGTATTTATGAAGGTCGCCCGGTGAGGGGTCTCTGGAGCAGAGACCTTCAGCGGGCGCACATAAATTACTTGGAGCTTTTAGCGGTGTTTCTCACCCTAAAACGCTTTCTGCCTTTCCTCAGGGGACATCACCTCCTCGTGAGGACAGACAACACAACCACAATATCGTATATTAACCGCGAAGGGGGTTTGCGTTCTCTCCAGTTACACACACTGGCGCGCAAACTGATCCTATGGAGCGGTAGACGTCTCCTCTCTCTGAGAGCGACGCACGTACCGGGAGTGATGAACCTCGGGGCAGATCTACTGTCCAGAGGTATACCACTTTATGCAGACTGGACTCTACATCCAAGGATTGTGAGCCAGCTGTGGGTGCGTTACGGCAGAGCCGCGGTGGATCTGTTCGCATCGAAAGACAACGCTCAGTGTCAGCTGTTCTTTTCGATGCGCGATCTAAATGCACCGTTAGGCGTGGATGCACTCGCGCACGATTGGCCCCCGGACCTTCTGTACTCGTTCCCACCCCTGGCTCTAATACCCCCAACTCTGGCCAGAGTGAGAGAGCAACGCCACACACTTATCCTGATAGCTCCGCACTGGCCAGCTATGTACTGGCTAGCGGAGATATATCAGCTGCTGTGCGGGCAGCCATGGCAGCTCCCACTACGCAGGGACATACTGTCCCAAGCCGGGGGGGGTCGATCTTTCACCCACACCCAGAGCGCTTGGCTCTATGGGCCTGGCCCGTGAGTGGTACAATCTGAATACAGTGTGACATGAAGCTGACCCTGGCAGCTGCCAAGCGAGCCTGTGGCACTCATGCACTATCTGTACAGTCTTCATGCACTCAGTTAGCCCCAGGGCAAACAGAGTGTGGTTGAAGCACAACCCTGCCTTTATCTTAAGGTGGTTGGTTCAGGTACCACATTTGACATTGAGGCATCCTCCCCGCCACTGTATTCCTCCGGGGAACAGCGGCCGGATTTGCCGTGTCTAGCCCGTGCTGTACGCACGTACAGGGACAGATCAAGGGTGCTTCGTCATAATGACCAACCCCTTGTGTCATGGGCTAACCCTTATAAGGGCAAGCCTGTTACTAAGCAACGGCTCTCCCACTGGTTTGTGGAAGCAATTGCTTTGGGGCCCATACGAGTCAGAGTTCGCAGGCACCCTCGGGTCCTCAAGCTCTTTCGACTCAGGGTCTGGCTGCATCCTGGGCTCTGTCCAGGATGTCTCCCATCCAAGACATTGGTGCAGCGGCGAGCTGGTCCTCGCCGCTCACTTTTGTCCGCCTCTTAACAGGCTGGACGTTCTGCTCCCAGTGTGACTCAAGCAGTGCTGGGCACTTGGTTGAGTCAGAGCTCTACCTGTTAAGTTCTGGTTGGTTTGGTGATTTTCGAGATAAGCTCGTCTGACAATACGGGAGCTACAATTTCCCATAGTGAGACATCGAACGGAGTGTTATGAATGAGAACTATAGGTTACTTACGTAACCCCAGTTCTCAGAGTAACATGAAGTGAGATGTCTCACCAGACGGCCCTCCTTGCTATGGTGAAGCGAGAAGAGGTGCTTATTTTGAATGACGCATGCGTCGTGGCGCAAGCTACTTATAGGGGGTGAATTCCCTGACGCTGACGTCAAGATCACCAGCCAATCAGGATTGGCGTAATGAGATTGATGCTTCTGTTTGCTCCGCGATGATGCGCATCCATAGTGAGACATCTCACTTCATGTTACTCTGAGAACTGGGGTTACATAAGTAACCTATAGTTTCTGTGTACTTCACCGGTGTAATTATCGAGGGAACATCGCAGCTCAATTGATTGAATACCTCACTGCTGTCATAATTGTATGCAGCCATTGAATAGCCTCACTTCCTTTCTCTTGAGCAGCCTGTTTTGTGCTACCAAATTACAATGTCATCGCCATTTTCTACCCACCAATCGCAACTATCGTATTCACTTTTTTATTCATTTCATTTCATTTCAAACCTTTATTTATCCAGGTGTATCCCATTGAGATCATTGATCTCTTTTTCAAGGGAGACCAAATTCATTACAAGCCATCAGAAGTTGTGTCAATGCTACACATGCCATTACAGTGGTTATATTTAGATTACATACCTAAATCCACTCATATTGGTGGACTGTATGTATTGCACATTAAAGTGTATAGCAAGCTTAAAGACTTGGAAATCTACTAGTTATGTTATATAGTAGAAATATACAAATACTTAAACACCCTAACCCTAAATTAGTACTACTTTGTTTTTTACAGTGAAGGTGAATTCTGAGTAATAGTGCAACACAGCTAAACAATTGTGTGGTTTCCGTAGATTCATTACATAGATCCCTCTGATAGTTGTCTCCTTGACCCTTTTGTAATTCTATATAAGTAATGGACATGCTCTCAATCCCATTAAGGCGGTAGATAAGGTACTTAAAGGCCACTGAGTGTCGACTGTTATCAGATTTTAATCCTCTTCCCTGCCTATTGTAAGGTAGCTGCATGCCTGGCTTAGTAGCAGGAGACGAAAGATTAAAGGAAGACAGTAAGTACTTCATACTTTTAATGTATTTCCAGGTGTATTCCAGTGTATTTCCTATTATGTTTTACAACCGTGATTTAAATATATTTGCTTTGTCAAGACTATATTAAATCATAACATGTTTTTACTTTTGGGATATGAGAATGTCAAAATAAGGATTCCAAGGGGACTATTAATATCATTTCCAGGTTCATATTTGTCTTGTTTGCCTCTACTGTGACATTTCTACATGTTACTTCAGCACTGCTGCTCTTTTCACCCTCTTTCTTTAATTGTCGGAAATTCACAAAGGAGCCCAATGGAGGTGTTGCAGGCAGGGGAGAGTGTGTGGGAGTGAACATGAACTTTGGGATTTTAGCCGTTGCAGACCATTAACATGCACAAAAACCTATATAACATCCTACAGGAATAATAAAACCCCAAAATAATAGGGTTTCTTTAATATACTGTATTATCATTATATTTTAGATTGAGGAAGAGATGATTCACTATGAGAACATTGCTTTTTGGAGGAGTTGAAAAACATGAAAGACATGAAAAACCTTCCTAATAGAAAATGAGGAGGAAGAAAAAATACTGTTTTATCTCATCTTTTTATAGAAGTCAAAGGGAAGTTTCAACAACCAATTGTTTATTTTATGAAATCTAAAAAAGAGTCAGGATGTGCTGTTTTCCCTCTCTAAAAACTCAAAAATAGACCCAGTAACATTGAAAACATACAAACTGTGCTCCACCAATATCCTTAACAATGATCTTTAAATATCACTTGCTGGTTGTTTTATTGTTGCCTTAAGGTTAATGTACTTTGGATCAATACTTGCAAGCATGGTATTACAGGCATTATTTGTTTTACCTTAGTCACTCATAGGGCTATAGTATAGTGCTGTTTTTGCTGATGTAGACATCAACAAAACAATAATTTCAGTTTCCTTGACACCAGAAACCGGGAGAAAAACAAGGAAAAACAATGAGAGGCTCCCCAGAGAGAAAAGTCAGTGTACAGCCTTGATTGTAGGAAGAGATACCTTGCAGCGTTCGGATGAAACAAGTCTTTAACCCTGGGGTTTAATCAGCGCATTGACTGAAAAGATGTTATTTAAGTTTCTAAGATTTGCCAGTAAACATCACTCTACAGCCAAGGACTATTCTAAACATCTCTGACAAAAACAATTGAACAATTTTGTTTGGGAGAAACAATCTCATGCTCCTCACAGCGTGAAAGGAGCGCCCATGGTAAACACATTCTAATATTTAGCTTCGCTCCGTCATACCTCGCCTTCGCAATCGGGATGAATGCGGAGGAGTGGAAGGTCAGCAGTTGTGAGTGTGCAGGTGTGCAATGCATGTGTCAGAAGTTAATAGAGGCAACGGTGGCTCTGTAACAGATTACAGCATCTCTGTCAAAGGAAGACGGGAGGCAAGGCCTGCAGCCCATTCATCACCAGGCTGTCTTCTCCTCAGCCTCACTCTCCTTAAGCCATGTGATAAAGGTGCATGTCAGCTCCTCTCTGCTGCTCAACTGCATCCAGTCAGAATCCACACACACAGGATGAGGCGCCACTGCAGCCATAGTCAGAGATGGCAAAAGTACACACCGAGGGGTGAGAACCAGTGACATTTTGGTCCAAAATGAGTTATATATATCAAATGAAAGCTCTCGATGAGCTCTTTCTACTGCCAAAAGGGTGCATGTGAATTCTAAACCAATCCAGAGTTATTCATCAAAAACCAAAAGACCTAACACAGAACACACTGAACTATTTGGGGCCAAAAGGACGTAAGTGCACTTACGCCCTTTTGGCCCTGAGAAATGTATTATGGGTTAAGCCTTTGGATAGCACTTGAGTCAAAATGGCTGACACCATATGTAAGCAAGCTAGGTCAACCATGAGAAGAAAGCTTTTCACTGCTGAAGAAGTGTTACTATGCTTATTTCAAGATGCAGAAGAGCTTGATGAAGAGAATGAAATAATCCAGGATTCATTCAAAGTCAATGCTGAGTGACAAAGGAAACTTAGTTTCTACAGATCCATCTTCAACAGAGAATTCAACTCATCAGAGATCAGCACATGCATGTTCTAGTATCTGTCAACTCTTTCAGGTACTGAGCATGTGGTGCTGTACTCTGACACATGTGGTGGGCAGAACAGGAATGCTGGTGTTAGTGCCATGTGTCTCCATGCAGTCAACACATTGCCCATCTCCATTATTGACCATACATTCATGGAGTCTGGACAGAGCAAGATGGAATGTGACAGTGTTCATGCAGCCATTGAGACCGACAGAAAAAAAAGGCCTTTGTACAGTTCGGAGGGGTACTACACTCTTGTGAGGATGGCAAGGAGGAACAGGCCATAGAAGGTGATTGAGCTTGGGCACAGTGACTTTCTGGATTTCTAGTCCTTCTCACAACACACTAGGGCTGCTCGATTATGGCAAAAATCATAATCACGATTATTTTGGTCAATATTGATATCACGATTATTAAATACAATTATTCATTGACTTTGAAAACATCCATTTATTGAACATACAAAAGGGGGGAAACTGTGGACCTCGTTGCAAGCCAAAATCGTAATCGAGATTAAAATACGATTAATTGCACAGCCCTACAACACACGGTCCGAAACAGAACCAAAGATACAGAGGGACAAACAGTTTGTTGGCAGAAAATTAAATGGCTGCGCTACACAAAAGAGGATCCGAAAAGGATTCAGTTCAAATATGAACTGTCTGACCAAGCTGCAAGTTGGAAAGCAGGAGACCAGAGGTGCTCATGCAATTGAACCAAAGAAGATGCACACAGGTCAACCTGGGATCACTGCTGTGAAAAAGAAAGACGTACTCACACAAATGGGAGTATCCCTCACTCCTATGTGGACTTCTACCATTCTTTGCAAGTCATTCAGGCAGAGTAGGCTAGTATGTCCTTTCAAATCAATCTGAAACGTACATGATCTGCATGAAATATGCTGTTGTCGTATATAATTATATTGCTATATTTGACATTCCCAATGTTCTAAAGTAGTTTTTGATTTGCCAAACAGTTATTAGGCCAGGTTTAATGTAATTTATTGTTATTCAGTGAACTAATGTGATATTGATATTTGATATGATCACAATGGACTCTGTAGCCTATTTTCAATCCGTTATTTGGGGAAATGGCTAAATAATTAACTATTTGGCAAAATGGTTATTAATGTTTTTTTTTTTTAAATAATTACATTCCATGAACTAATATGATATAAGGATATTTTCATATAATATTGTTATTATAACAATTGATTACTGTTACTTTTGAACTCATAAATGTAAAGCCTTTTTCCTATTTTGATCAGATACGCCCTTTTTCTTAGTTTATACGAGATACAATTTTAGTTCCAAAAAGGCGCATGTGACTTTATTCCGAATAAAAAAAAGATAGAAGAATATTTTTTTCAATGAAAGTCAAAATATTGTTCATTAAGTATATTGTCATCCACATGTTTATGAAGTTTTCATATTAAAGATTGAATTTAATAAACAATGTCAGGACAAAGTATGGTAGTTTTTTGTTTTGGCTCTCCTGTAAAGTTGGTCAAATGTCACTTACGCCCCTCTGGTTCTCACCCCTCGACACATCCTTTACTCAAGTAGAAGTACAGATACTCGTGTTCAAAAATACTCTGGTAAAAGTATAAGTACTGACTGAACTTCTTTACTCAAGTAAAAGTAAAGAAGTATGGGCTTCAAAATGTACTTAAAGGGGACCTATTATGCAAAATCACTTTGTCATGTATGTTATACATCAACATGTGCCCCCCTCTGTGTTAAGATATTCTATTCAATTCAGAGACATGTTTTGCACATATCTGAGACCTATAATATATTGATGAAAAACAGTAAAATAGGGGACCTTTAAGTAAAAAGTACCCATAACTAACAACTGTTTTAAAGAGTACCTGACCTCCCTTTATGTTAATAGAACAATAATGTCATTATTAGCTAATGAATGTTTCGATGCTGAACAACGGCTAATTACAAAGTTTTCATTGGTCCCTCTTCTTTAGAGAAGACCAGGAAATGATGGATACACGGATTGTGTTCACATGAAAAGGCACGCAATGACTCTAAATAATAATGATCAGGCCACCAAACGCAGATTAAAACTAAAGTAACAAACCTGTTTTATATATGTAAGAAGTAGAAAGTGCAGGTATTTGTGTTAAAAATGTAAGAAGTAAAAGTCATCAGAAAAATATGTAGTGGAGTAAAGCACTGATCCCAGAAAAATGTACAGTAACAAAGTAGTCTTACTACTTTGTCACCAAAATAGTGATTTATTCATCTTGTAGCTAACTTTAGAGGATTATTAAATATCATATGGGGAATTAATCTGCAGATGCTCCGATTCAGAATATGACCAAACCTTTTAATGGATATCAGTTGTAGTGCTGACAAAGTTCCAAATGCAGCCAGCATGGATGAAGTAAGCAAGGATTGTTTTTGCCTGGCCTTTTGCTACAAAGCAGTTTTTAGTTACCTAAGGCCCCTTTCGGCCGGGTAAAGAAAAGTGAGAATTCAGCAGTCAATAATATGAAATAGTCAATAAAATATATTTGTTGCAGATTGTCAATCACTCCAACTACAAGAAGTCCTTGAGAAAAGAGTCATACATGTCCAATAAAACAATACAGAGAGATGCAGGTGCATACTCAAACCAACTAACTAACATGATCCCTAGACGCAGATAATAATTAGATTTTACCATGCGCAGCACACACCTCATGACTTCCCTATGATCGCTAGCAACAAAGAGAGGCACATCTGCTCGTTTTTTTCAAGCACAATCATCTTTTTGTATAAAGTTTCAAGATAAAAGACAAAAGCCTGGGATGTTTCCCAACAAATCAACTACCCAGGTGTCTGCTAACTGAGAGGACAGAGTGTTACCGAGCAAACAGTTGGTCAGAGTTCAGGGTTTTCACTGCTCTGCAGAACTGATGGATTTAATATTGTCCTCTACAGTAACTGTTCTTGCAGCTGTTTAAGAATGCTGCATTGTTGCCATTAAATAGAGATGAAATGGTGAAAAAAATTACCATTCAAAAACAATCATTTTATTTATTGCCATTTTTTAACCGTCACTTGTTTAGTCTTGACAATAACCTACAAAAATGATCAGTGTGTTGAATAATGAACTAAATCATGTGACTTGGTTGCATTAGATGGATAAACTTTCATTCGGTGTTAAGAAATTGACAATATGTATTTAATTTATTCAGGAATAGTCTCAGAAACCAAATCTATAATTGGTTTGGGAGAATTCCACTTAATTTCTTGGTTGTTATAGATAACAAGTGGTACTGCAAATCACACACCAATATGACCCTACAATTTTAAAAATAGGGATTATAGAACGGCGCTCTTCATTATGTGTATTGCACCAATGTACTGAAGTTTGGGCAGTTACAGTATGCACAATAGAATATACCAAACATATTTATCTACCAACCACAGAAGACATTTCCTGTTGTTTGATTTAATGTAGGAAATACAGCAGGGTATAATAATCTGGAATCCAATTACCACTTATTTTACACATTTATCCCAAGAGTTTATAAAAAAAAAGTCTAGAAAGTCTTCATTTGTATCAGAAATATATTTGTCACTGGTAAACGAAAATACCTTTGGAGCTGCATAAAACCTATGGCCATAAAAAGGTCATGATATATTGGCATACACAAACAGCTGAATAAAATCCAGCACACATACAGTATCTCATATTTACCAGGCCTCCTATAAGAGGCACATAAAAGACATACTGCTATTACACACATTGGTCGACAGTTTAAATTCCTTTGTGCTTTGATTAAGTGCACGGGACAACAATCAATACCGTCACGCTTTGCCGTTTAAAACATTGAGATCACCCAATTTGACACATCACTTCCTCTGTTCTTTATAGATCCACCAATGGAATTATTGCCTGATGACCAATATGCCGCAGAGCGTATTTGGACTGTTTTACAAATGCACCTATTTGTTTCAATCCTCCATGCGTGATGTCTTTCCATTAAGCTGGAGAAACATGGGCATTAAACTTGCAAGAACAGACATGTGTCGTGCCTTTCAATGCGGCCATAAATAGCAACAAATTGATTAACATAAAATAATGAAGACTCCTTTTCCCCAGAAAGAGATGGATTTTCCCGAAGCAGCGCTGAGGCAGGAGTGGAAGCATGATCTATATTTCAAAGGAACAACATTATGTGGCATAAAGACGGGCTGCCGTATGACGCTCATAATTAAACTTTACTTTTAATTCTACAGTCCATTTCATCTTCAACCCTCTGCTATGTCCAGGGTCCTTGAGGTGTGTTAGATGAAATGTCCCCCAGAGTGAATAAGTGTCATGCAGAATGCTGCGATCATTTGGCAGTGAGAATCCAACATAAGAAGTATTTCTGTTAACTACCCTGCCAGCTAAAATCCAATCCAGTTACTTGAAGTCTTCTCTGAGATGAAATGTCCCTGCTCCACCTTAACACAAGCAGCACATATTAAAGTCATGAGAGACATAACAGAAGTGGTGTACTTTCCTCCAGAGACAGCAGATATTTGATTTATAAAATTATAAAATGTTCGGACGGAGTGGGATTAAGCAGGATGAAACTATGTATTCAATGATGGGGATCAACCAGATCACATGAATTATTAATCAGGAACATTTTGTCCCCGATACCCTGAGGATAAAGTGGCTACTGCTAGCACAATCCACATCTTGCTTATTTTATGGACAGTTATAAAAGGGTATACTTAAAATCAAACTGTTTGTGCGAGGAAGGAAACATGAAAATAATGACTGTCATAGCCCCAGTATCAGAGAATATGGGTTTCAATTAGAGAACAGATGTACTGTTAACCTATGGCCAAACAAATAAAAAGCAAGTATTTGTTCACCTATATTTAGGACTCGGTCCATGAAACGGTTGAATCCAAAGAGTAATTTCATAGGAGGACATTCTTAAATACACCAAAGGCAGCACAAACATAACACTCAAATATTTGTATTAACACAGTGGGGATCTGAGCTAACCATAAGCATGCTAACATGGTGATATCTTTATAGTATAATATTGTTATTGTGTAATATTATATTACAATGCTAACACTTTTAAATTAGCACTTGAAACACAACGCAGCTGAGGTGAATGCTAATAGTTTTGTAGGAAATGTTTCATAAAGTACAGATTTAGTCAAACTGAAAGTGAGCTCTGATGATGGGTCTTGATGAATTATAGGCTCTCATTGAACTAAGTGGTACATTATAAACACAATGTCATGGTAATCAATGAAATATTGTCAAGAAATGTCATTGTGAACCGGAGTCATATAATAGATTATTTTATGACAGTGAAGGTCTAAATGTTGTGCAAATTGTTTTAAAGAAATAAGAAATTACAAGATTTCATTTGACCAAATCATGATAACATTATAAATTGCCTTCACCTGACACCTTTTGTTCTCAATAGAGGTTGAACACATCATTATGTAGGCATCTTAGGGAAGATATCTCTTCGCTAGGGTGTTTTAACAAGGCTCCTGTGTACCACCAGTTGTACCTGTACAACAGTTTGGGAATCACTACACCAGAGGAAAAGCCTGAAACCAATAAAGTCAGACGGCTTCAACCTCTTGGGGCGATGTACGTCCATACTTAACCTAATGTGCGTGGATTAACAGTTTGTTAAATTGATTAAACATGCATAATCAAGAAGAGAGCCTGATCATTTACTCAAAGCAACAACTGCTTTTAATGATACAGGTGCTCAGAACATCTCTGTTGAGGACTAGTGCTGTTCTCAATATTCTTCTAAGTATTGCAGTAATTACTGTACTTAATCTAAAATCTCAAAGCATATGAGTAAACCTTCGCGGCATAATAGAGTGCAGCATAACACCTCCGAACACCATTAAATCAAATAGCTGAATTATAAATGACCCTGCATTAACTGTATAAAACTACATATGGTCTGTGCTGTTCTTCCATATTCATTAATATAATAGCCTTGAGAGAAATATTAATGTGAAGCAAACATTCAATCGTAGTGGCCCAGCTTGCTTATGTTGATAAAAGCCCATGCCGCATTACAGTGTGATGTAAACTCGTTGCAATACAATTTTGTTTTTCCATATCGACGCCGTGGGCACTTGGGTCCTACATTTTTGCCAAGGAAACATCAGTACAACTCAAAGCTGTGCACTCCAGAGTGTGTTCTGTCAGCTGGCTGTCGAGGATGTGCCCTCAGCACTCGCCTGAGATGGTGGGGGCTGATGAAGAAGTACAATGCCATGGCCAGCGGTCAGCAGTGTTTATGAGGAGTGTCATCACGGCTGACAGCGTTCACGCTCTATGATTCATAAGCCTCCAATCGCAACAGGCACCTGCCGAGAGGTAACAACTTGCCCGCGGAGGAGTGTAGGACTGTTTCGAGCGAGAGGTGTCCTTGATGCCAGCAGACATAATGACACTGTTTGATGTCTGAAATTCAACTGCTGTGCAAACATTTACCGGGGGACGCATTTCAGGCACGTCTGATAAAGAAGCTGAACATGCCAGTCAATTGTATTACAGTTCCACTGGCATCACTCTTATAAAAATATTTAGCTTTTTGTGACAGCAAACTCAATAGAGTTCAGACGGACCTTGATACAGCCATGATAGTGTGTAAAGGTTACAATCTGTGTGCAAACTCAGAAGAAAATCAGTCAGTGTACAAAAGAAAAACCTTCTAAATCTTCCTTTCTAAATTGTTGTGCTGCCCATTAGGAGGTTGATTCATCTCGGCGTTTCACTCATATGAATTTCTCCTGCAGTGTGAGGCTCCAATAAGGATGAATAACACACCTACTGGCAGTGCAACACTGTGTCTATACGAGACAAACCAGTATAATTTCCCTCCTGAAAGCCATCTTTAATTGGAATCTTCGTTTGTCATTTTGCGTACAATTGCCCGTGGCACCACATAAAACAGGCATTGACACAGGCAGAGCTTTGGAATTATTATATAATTAGCTAATAAATTGGTGATATATTCTGTTCTCGATTCTTTGGACAGTTACATTCACACACTCATATCACATCTTTCTATTAAATGACACATTTCTGTCTTGCAAAGCACAGATAAGACTAATTGGACATTTGAGAGTCTCATTAATTGATGGTATGGCTTGAGTTGCTTTTCATTCACAACGTGGCATGAATTGATAAAGGTGCTTCTGCAGCTTGTGTGACTTCCTCTGTGACCTTCACTTAGCTTCAGACTGATGTTTTTGTTTTGTGTCTTTTAGATCCTTTTTAATGTGAAGGCCATTCAGAAACTCGTAGTCTACTTCACTCACACATGCAACGTCAAATATGGATTATATTTAATTTCCTATGACAATATTATAAACCAAATGATCGTATCTCACCTGTCAATGAAGAGGAACATATGGCAAATCCTTTAATAGTAAATAATTACATAATAAATCAGTATTAACAGTATTAAAAAATGTTAATAATTGAAATGAATAAAAATAATGAAGTATTTTTTTAAGTTGCTTAAAATAGCACATTTTAAAGAGGCCCTTTTTGTCAGGTTCATATGTGTATGTTGTGCCTCTACTGTGACATGTTTACATGCCTACATTGTCACAAAGGTCTTTATTTGTCTCATACCGTCTCTTTTCACCCTCTGTCTAAAACAAGCACTGCTTAGAGATGTCCCGCCCCTTAGCCTATCACTTACAATGTGTTGGAGTGCTAGCCAATAGAAGAGCAAGTGTCACAGTGATGTTAATATGACATTGAAGCAAACATAGGAGTCCATTCGAGGCGTTTCAGGAAGGGGGGGGGGGGGGGGGATTTTAGCCTTTGCAGACCATTTACATGCACTAAAACATATACTACAGGAAAGTGAAACCCCCAAAAGCATAATGGGGCCTCTTTAAATATCATGCAATTGCTATTCATGCCTCAAAACACTAACTCAATGTGACTGTAGTCTAATAATAACCAACACAATCACAGCTGCCGTGTCTTTAGAGTGCTGTTCGACAACTTTAGGCTTTCTGATTTTCCACCATGTCACACTTTACTGATAAGAACTGGGTTTATCCTGGAAGGAATGGAAAACCCAAACAAGAATTGTTATCTCTCCAGATAGCGGATAAACTTAACCTCTGTCTGGGTGTTATCAAACTGCAGTGAGCTCGACCATATTTCTTATCCATGTGAACATTTATCCTCTGGTCGTCTCTGAATGGAGAGCTACAGTATCCCCAATCTTACGTCTGGACGAATGTCCCCTTTGCACCCAGCATGCGCTGCCCATGATAAATCCTTTAAATTACTCCAAGGTTGTTCACAGGAAGAAACATAGCAGTCTTCCGCACAGTTATAGCAACGCAGTTAAGAAATATGGCTTGTTGGGAACCATGCCACAAAAACAGCAATGGGAATTTGTCACTCATAATATTCATTCAAGCTATTTCTACTATTAGACCATCATTTCATATAACCATTTGAATGACATCTTACGAAAAATGATCTTGCATTTGTGTTGCTTTTCTAACAATTGTCCTGGAATACTGTGCTGCAGCACCTCTTTTCACCCTCTGTCTGAAACCAGAGCACAGTCTGCTTTGATTGGTTAGCTGGCCGGCGAGTCCCGCCCTTCATTCTATTATGTATTATTTCGGGCAGCAGAGCGGAAATGGTGGAAATCCAAACACCGTGACGACCTCCTAACCTATCAGGCGCTCCTCTTTCTCTGCTTCGATCTCTCAGGCAAAAAGCACTTTCTTTCAAGATAAGATCCAATCTTCCTATTCCAATCCCAAAAAACTATTTTCCATCTTCTCCTCCCTCCTGGACCCCCCAAAGCCCCTTCCCCCTCCTCCCTTCTGTCAAGCGACTTTGTTAACCACTTTTAAAAAAAGGTTGATGATATTCGCTCTTCTTTTTCTGACTCACCTCTACTCACCGCTGGGTCACCAGACCCCCCTTTCACCCACACACTGACCTCCTTTTCCCCTCTCTCTCCAAGTGAGGTTTTTACCCTCATTACCTCTGCCCGCCCTACCACCTGTCCTCTGGACCCTATCCCTTCAAGCCTCCTTCAGACTATCGCTCCTGATATTCTACCGTTTCTCACCCATTTCATCAACACTTCTCTAACTTCTGGTCACTTTCCAAACAGTCTCAAGGAGGCAAGAGTAAACCCTCTCCTAAAGAAACCCACTCTCAACCCGTCCGATGTTATAAACTACAGGCCTGTCTCTCTCCTCCCGTTCCTGTCTAAAACACTTGAACGCGCTGTCTTTAGACAACTCTCCTGCTATCTCCATCAGAACAACCTTCTGGATCCGCACCAGTCTGGTTTCAAGGCAGGTCACTCCACAGAAACTGCCCTCCTTGCTGTCACTGAGGAACTGCACACTGCTAAAGCAGCCTCCCTCTCCTCTGTCATCATCCTTTTGGACCTGTCTGCTGCATTCGACACGGTGAATCATCAGATCCTCCTTCGCACTCTCCAAGCACTTGGAGTTTCAGGCTCTGCACTTTCCCTCCTCACCTCATACCTCAAAGACCGCACCTACAGGGTTACTTGGAGAGGGTCCGAGTCCGACCCTTGTCAATTAACTACAGGGGTCCCTCAGGGCTCTGTTCTTGGTCCCCTCCTCTTCTCCTTGTACACAAACTCGCTCGGATCAGTCATTAGCCCGCATGGTTTTTCATAACACTGCTACACTGATGACACCCAATTGATTCTGTCCTTTCCCCGCTCAGAGACCCAGGTCGTCGCACACATCTCTGCTTGTCTAGCTGACATCTCTCAGTGGATGTCTGATCATCACCTCAAGCTCAACCTTGACAAGACTGAACTGCTTTTCCTTCCGGGAAAAGATTGTCCCACTCTTGACCTAACAATCAACATTGGCACCTCTGTTGTTTCCCCGACTCAGACTGCAAGGAATCTGGGTGTGACCAACACATCCTCACTCCCAGGTCGGCCTATGTTGACGTTATGTCAAGTCCCCTGTCGGCTTTTTCCAACGCAAGGGGGGGGGCCTTAGCGTCCATTTTCAACGCAAGGGGGGGGCCCTTAGCGTCCATTTTCAGCTTTCCGGGATGTCCATATGCTTCTATGGACGCTCATGGAAGCACGGCGTTCGTTTGTGTCGACTGCCCTTAAAGGCAATGTGAGCGTCCATTCTCATTGGATAACGGAGAATTGTACACCCGGAAGTAAGTATTCCCCTTACTGTCGATTGAATTTACAGTGATATCTGCACTACTCATCGACTAAAAAACACCAGATTATCCTTGTTAATTACACAACATTGATTGGTTTAAATTGTGTGCAATGCTTTTGTATTTTTCCCCTTCGATTCGGAGAAACAAATGTTTTTTCGGAGTAAAGGATGGCAGAAGACACTACACTACCCAGAATCCCCAGCTATCGTTTGGACTACACCATGTGCTCTGTTTGACAAACCCCGTGATAGTCCTCAAGCTCTGTGATTGGAGAGTGTGCTCCGAGGGTTATGCCGAGCCTCGAACAGCACTTGAAATGGGATGGAATCACGGCAGACTGTCCAAAACTGGATTTGAACGGGTCCACCGCGTCCCCCCTCCCCCACCCCGTCCCCAGAACTACAAATGCTGGCTATTCTGTTTCGCAACATGTTCTGTATCTATGGCACGTCTCTACTGGGAGTTGTAGTTTTAAAAGACGTTTTCGTATTTCCCATAATAAGAAGTTGCCAGTATTAAACTGTGTACATCCCTGGAGGTTTATGGGATAGGAAACACTCACATTTAAAACATATAATTAATAAATAGGTGAAAATTGCTTGTGCCCATAATGGGCAGTATTAATATATATATATACACACATGCCAGCTAAGGTCAGAAGAGCTTTATTTAACAGCTGGTCTTATGTTTGTGACCCCTGTTGTTAATTGATAACATTACATTACATTACATTAATTGATAAGCCTGAAACATGCACTTGTTAAGGTTCAGAGGCACATTTTGCAAATATGGCAGTAGCCATCGATCAATTTAAGATAAGATATACTTTATTAATCTCAAGTTGGAACATTTGCATTACATCAGCATGTGTAAAAGTTAAATATGCAGTGGTGTTTATTTGTAAATCATTTAGTATAATTACACAAATTCTGTGTTTTATATGCAACAATTCTGTGTTCTTTATTTATTGATTGTTCAATACCTGACAAGATCGGAGATGTAATATCTACATACATCTTATAATAGTATAATACATTATGTATAATATCAGTTAAAATAAGTGCTTCAACATAGTTAACATTGCTGGAGGTACGCACAAATATTGATAGATGTCTTGTAATGCACTATTGAGGAACCTGCGACCCAAGTTTTTCATTCAATGCATAACTACACCATAGTTGTAGGCCTATATGATATGTCAATAAACCTTAGAAAATCTTGAAATCTTGAAAGGGATGTGCAAAATAGTCATTATATACAGTCTTTAATTAACTATTAGTAGAGAATAACGAGTAATTAATATACTTTATAGGGATCCTATTAATATCTAATAATAAAAATAATGAAATTCAATAACATGCTTTAACCACTAGGTGTCCCTTTATATCAGCTGTGCACCTTTATGGTGTAAATACAGCCTATCTACCAATTGGATCAAATATAAAAGTCAGCCGAATTAGTGTTGATACTGCAAGGAGACGTATTGTGTGAAAATAAATGTAAGATGTTGTTTAATGGCTGATATATTTATGATCCACGTCACGTTTTCAGTTCCTCATGTTTGTCTAGAAGTCTTCTCATCAGGGCTATATAAATACAGAACTACGGCAGATATGTAATATTTAATGCAGCCGAACCGTGTATTACCATGCCGTTATGTGATGACTTCCAAAGAGAAAAGCAAGCACACTCGGAATAAAGTATTATTGTATTTTTTTTAAATGTTTTCGGTCTGTTTCCGTTATTTGTTAATGACGATGTGCTGTGAGATGTGAGACTGGAATTGCACAGGGGAAAATAACGTAGGCTATCTTTAGATGCGGATTTTGTTAAACTAATATGTTTGCGCTGTGGACCAACACTATACATTGACGGGGAAGGGCGTAGCAATAAAGATAACACCATTAAACAGTTACACAACATAACAGAAATAATATCGATAGCAGCGTCCCTAGCAACCACCTTGGTAACAATGAAAACGTTATGGACGTAATCTTCGTAATAACTAGCAAACTAAAGATCATGTACATCCACTGCACACATAATCTGAAATAACAACTCATATTTCTCGCATCAAATGACATCAAAACGCATTTTAATGGCCAAACTAACTTTAAAATAGGCATTTTCCACCGAGAATAAAACGAAGTTCGGCCATGTTTTTTTTTTCTGCAGGGAGAAATTTGAAGATCACGTGACGTCAAACAGAGCACATGGTGTAGTCCAAACGATAGCTGGGGATTCTGGGTAGTGTAGTGTCTTCTGCCATCCTTTACTCCGAAAAAACATTTGTTTCTCCGAATCGAAGGGGAAAAATACAAAAGCATTGCACACAATTTAAACCAATCAATGTTGTGTAATTAACAAGGATAATCTGGTGTTTTTTAGTCGATGAGTAGTGCAGATATCACTGTAAAATCAATCGACAGTAAGGGGAATACTTACTTCCGGGTGTACAATTCTCCGTTATCCAATGAGAATGGACGCTCACATTGCCTTTAAGGGCAGCCGACACAAACGAATGCCGTGCTTCCATGAGCGTCCATAGAAGCATATGGACATCCCGGAAAGCTGAAAATGGACGCTAAGGGCCCCCCCCTTGCGTTGAAAATGGACGATAAGGCCCCCCCCTTGCGTTGGAAAAAGCCGACAGGGGACTTGACATAACGTCAACATAGGCCGACCTGGGAGTGAGGATGTGTTGGTGTGACCCTAGATAACAACCTGTCCTTTACTGCAAACATAGCTGCTACAACCCGCTGCTGCAGATACACGCTTTACAACATCAGGAGGATGCGTCCCCAGCTGACCCAGAAAGTGACGCAGGTTCTGGTCCAGGCTCTCGTCATCTCACGACTAGACTACTGCAACTCCCTCCTGGCTGGTCTACCTGCATGTGCCATCCGACCTCTGCAGCTCATCCAGAATGCAGCTGCTTGCCTGGTCTTTAACCTTCCTAAATTCTCCCACACCACTCCGCTCCTCCGCTCCCTTCACTGGCTTCCGATAACTGCTAGAATCCACTTCAAGACAATGGTACTTGCGTACCATGCTGCGAATGGATCTGGCCATTCCTATATCCAGGACATGGTTAAACCGTACACCCCAGCACGTGCACTCCGCTCTGCATCAACCAAACGGCTCGCTGCACCCTCGCTGCGAAGGGGACCCAAGTTCCCATCAGCAAAAACACGTGGGTTTGCTATCCTGGCTCCAAAATGGTGGAATGAGCTCCCCATTGACATCAGGACAGCAGATAGCTTACACACCTTCCGGCGCAGAATGAAAACTCATCTCTTTCGACTCCACTTCGAGCGATAGAACTATTAACAAAGCACTTATATACTAATAAAGGGCTGGCTTATCTAAAGCCAGTTGAGTAGCACTTGAAATGTTTTTGCTCTATGAAGCCTGATGTACTTACATGATTCTGTTTTCTTCAAGTTTGTATTTTGTTGGTCGAACACACTTATTGTAAGTCGCTTTGGATAAAAGCGTCAGCTAAATGCAATGTAATGTAATGTACTATTTGTTGGACTGCTAGCCAATAGAAGCGCAAGTGTTACATAGTGATGTCACTATTTACGGAAGTTACCAATAATTGCAACCAACGCGTTGCAGGCGGGGGGGGGGAGGGCATTGGATTTCAGTCTATACAGGAGATGGAGGTAAGCTCATGTCTGACACATTGAAAAGCAAATTAATTAGAAAAGGGTTCAAGAATAGTTTAATTATTGGCTGATCTGATACTCCCGGGAAGGCTTTTCTATTACACCTTCTCAGCTGCCTCAGATAAAGCCTCATCAGCCTAGCAGGCAGTAGGTCGGTTGAAAAAAAAGCACAGAGATTTAAACATTCACCCTTAATTAAGAGGCAGTTTCCAGATTTGACATGGAGAACAGTCTTTCCGGAGAAAGTATGTCTCTGCTTTGTATTTTTCATGCTCAGCAACACTATTACTCACAGGAATAGAAGTGAGGAAGAGGTGTTGAGGAAGATTCAGGTTGAGTTTGAGGGCACGCAAGGGACGAAATCTTGAATCTGGATTATTTCTGATGCCTGCAATAAACACTGACCCTCGTTTTTTTCCGACATCTGATGCAATGTGTGAACATAAATCTCAGTCCAGCAGAGCAGAACAATTGTGGAGACTCGCTCTGCATGTCAGTTATTGGTAAATCAGGTGGAGAATCAGAGACAGCTGCCTCCACTATTCTTTCTGTGCATGAAACATGGCTCCTCACAGCTGATGTGGGCCTCCATATTTCAAAAAGCTCTGTCATGCCGGATTTTAGATGCAGTCAGGAGATATGTTATTTCAATGTTTCCTTTGAACTATGTAAACAGACATTACAGTAAACTGTGGATGAGCATTTTTGTGTAGCTATTATGCTTATGTTTGTTCACTTATAATTTACTATCTGAACTTTTTTTTTACCAAGGGAAGATATATTAGAAGAAAAAATGACAAGTTGTTTTAGTTCATCTCATGCAGGTCTGATGGAACAGAATAAACTCTTTGATCAACACAGCTGTCTGCACAGGTCACTTAACATCATGCACTATAATGTCAGCCTGGTCCAAAGCTAATTTTTCCAGTTATGGTGTATTGGTGTATCTGTTATCAGCCCATTGAATGGCCATTATCATTTATCACCAGGCTTAGGGAGAAACCGATAACATGAGGCTATGTAAGGATGAAACAAAAAGGTAACTCTATGCCCTGACAATTACATACAAAAATTGATAATCAGATTACATTTACATGTCTCAATATTGTGGATCAGTAGCAGGATTACATTGTTACAAATAAAAGAGCATATATAGTGTTTGTTGTAATAGGATCCCATTTTATTTCTTCCATGTAAGCTATACTGTTCTGTCGGCTAATACTTTAATTGTGAATATTATACACCTACTGCCTGCATTTTCTTTATGGTAATCACCTTCTTTAGTCCATGTATTATTTTAATACAGTAGGTGATGTTCAAAAAATATTGTGTGTGAGCGTAACTGTATGTATGTAACTAAAACGTAAGGGGCGACTGTGGCTGGGAGGGAGTGTGGTCGTCTTTCTATCAGAAGGTTGTGGGTTAAATCCGGCCTGTGCTTTCAACATGTCGATGTATCCTTGGGCAAGATACGTAACCCAGAGTTCCTCCCGATGGCATGGCCAACGGTGTGTGAATGTGTGTGAATGTTAGCTTCCCTAGAGCAAGTGGTACTGCTTTGTATGAATGAGGTGTCAATGGGTGAATGACTGGTAGCATGTAAAGCGCTTTGAGTGGTCGAAAAGACCTGACAAAGCATTACAGTATATAAGTACAACCCATTTACAAAGTCTAAGCATTTTCTGTTGGCTCAGATTGTATTTCTGTAGTAGAAACTGTAGTATGTGCTCGTGTGTTTCATTGTTGGTTTAATATACTGCTTGAATATTCTGAAGGAAAGGCAAGTTTTCCTATAAAAAAGAAAATCGCACACATTTTTGATGCTATATATCTTGGTTTCTTCTTTTCTAAGGTAACATTGTTTTGTTGTCTTACTTACTTTAATTTTATTTTTGACATATGTATTTGCATTGCATTTGATATTGAGGATCAAAAAGTAGCGGAAAACGATCAGGTTACATTACTTTTTATAATCCTGGCTCCAAGATGGTGGAATGAGCTCCCCATTGAAATCAGGATAGCAGATAGCTTGCACATCTTCCGGCGCAAACTGAAAACTCATCTCTTTCGACTCCACTTCGAGCGATATAACTATTAACAAAGCACTTATACTAATAAAGGACTGGCTTATCTAAAGCCAGTTGAGTAGCACTTGAAATGTTTGGCTCTATGAAACCTGATGTACTTATATGATTCTGTTTTCTTCAAGGTTGTGTCTTCCTGGTCGAATGTACTTATTGTAAGTCGCTTTGGATAAAAGCGTCAGCTAAATGCAATGTAATGTAATGTTATACTTATATTAGGTTACTGATCATATATTTTTTACAGGTAGTAATTGTAATGGAATACCATTTTTCAAGTTACCATCCCGCCCCTGGTTATCACCACCATTGTGCAGTACTATGACCTACAACTGAGGAATGGAACGTTAAAAAACCAGGAAGTAATTTTTGACCTTCTTGTGGCATTAATGGAAAAGTCAGGGGATCACCAGAGTCATGACAATGTGTCCTCTGGGCATCATGGATATTAGTAGAAAGTTTAACTGAATTCCATGGAGGACTTGCAGACCAAGAAACGTATACCAGCAGGATGAGACCTTGAGACGGCTCAAAATAGCTTAGCACATTGCACTGGAGGTGCCAGGAAAACATGCACATCATAAAGAAACACCTTTTTTTATATATATGTAACGTCTATTCTAACCTGCTAACGGTGCTAACATGTAAAACAGCAAGGTGCTATATGATCTTGAGGTTCAAAGCACCTTTTAGGAAATTAGTATTCATAAAGTTATACAGTGTGCTACGATAAAAGCATGTGATAGGAAGCAGCTGATTCACACCGCACCTGTTCTCAGCAGAAAGCAGATTCCCATTGCACTTCATGAGCTGGCTGTGAAGTGAAAACTGCATTTAAAACTGTACATTATATGGACTTAGCACAATGCACAGTGTTCATCTTTTGCCATAAAAAGATAAATATGTTTAAATTGGTTGAGAGGTAGGAACAACAGTATAACTACTGTATAGGTTTTACGCCTCATTTTGTTATTGTATCATTATTGTGGGCACAGTACTTTAAACTGAGCTAAGTCAATGTTTTATAAGAAGGTCAATTATGAGCAAAGCTTCCATGAAACTACGTCTATCCTGCTCTGCCTGTGGCTGGAAGCAGTGATACAAACCATTATGAACAGCCAAACTGATCTCATAAGAAATATGTCTTAGCAGCATCTTTAAAGAAAAGGGTATTTAATAATTGCAAGGGTTATTGGCCAAGTTGCCTGCATCTACCTACGAATCATCACTATATGTGGAGGGGAGAAAAAAATACATTTACATATGGATGACCCGCAGAATGCTGATGCATTTCTCTGCCAGCACTATTAGGGCTGTTCTCCATTCACTCCACATGGCTCGTGAACAGTATAGCATTCTAATGTGGTCATTTCAGAGGTATGGAGCACACTCTATGCAGCTCAAGCCCCCGAGTCAGAGTCTACATGTCTCATCTGCTGAAAGCACCAGAATGATTTGTTTGTGAAACACATCATAAAGCCAACTTGAGGCAATGGCGAGGCAAAATTGGTTACGTCTGACACTGACTCATCTCTCAGTCGTTTTATCTTTCAACTCAAAGGAAAGATAGAAACATATGGTGCCATTCCCAGTCGCTGGAATGTCAAAGTAAAAGTGAAGCAAGAGGTCAGTTTAGTAAATAATCACATGCAGTCCTCCTGCGGGCAAAATTACTCTGTGTCCTTTTTGCAAGTTTACAGATGGTGTGCATTAACAAAGCATAAATTACTTAAACAGTGCAACAAATGGGGTGTGAACCAAGGAACAGATTTCATACCATTTTTCTTCCAGCTATTACAATTATCTTGTTAATTATAATCAGAAAGATTGCTGTTTTAAAAGCAAACATATATAAATTAGGTTACGTTGTTTTTCTTCCAGAGTGTGAAGCCAACATTTCATATCTACCTACCTACCTATACCTAACAATGTGGACAGATTCCACATGGCACTCACCCATGCACCCACACAGGCACAGAAACATAAATGCAAAAACACACACACACACACACACACACACACACACACACACACACACACACCACACACACACACACACACACACACCACACACACACACACACAACACACACACACACACACACACACACACACACACACACACACACACACACACACACACACACACACACACACACACAGAGGACCGTTTCCAAACACTGCTGCCAGATCAGATTCAATGGTTTTGTATCATAAACAGCTCGGCCTCGTAATTACACATATCTCAGTCACAAAACATACAAAAGCTTCACATTGGAAGACGTCTTGATAATAAAAAAAAAAACATATTGATATACAGCCAAGCCAATAGAAAAAAACCTGTGGCCTCTTGTTACCTTTTATAGTCCTTTTTACGGATCATTCAGATATTTTTAAAAGAACTAGGAGCAAAATGTTACGTTTTATGAGTATTCATGCTGTGCCAAGTTTCTGATGTGCTCCGCTGCGTATTTGTTTATGTCTTGGAGACAGAATATGTGATTTATAGTTAGACTGGTGGGGGTGGCAGCAAGGGAAGCTGTTA